CTCCGGGAAGTAAACGCCTAGGCCAGTGTTAGTCTATAATCCGCTGGGTCCCTCCTTCGCGGAGACTCCCTGGTTTTATTCTGGACACATCGATTTAAGGAGTTCCTATGGGGTCCATCCTGGGACGCGAGGAGCGGAGCGTGGAGGGGACGCTGAAAATTCTGCAAATAACATCACCGTGCAAGGGAATAACCGCGAGAGACGCGCAGTGTTTCGGGAAATCCGTAGGGAAGCGGGGCGGGCGAGGATTAGGGAAGGGCGAGGGAGGAGATGGCTTTGGCACTGGGAACAGTATTCCATCGGGAAGGGATGGGAGGAGATGGTCTGGCGTCAAGTTTGGTCTTTGGATGCCTGGGGGGACCGTTGAATAACTCCACCAGGGATCCCTGAGGTTAATTTAGGGGTCAGACTGGAGGTGTGTTTCTGGAAAATTGGCCGTATATTGTATATACGGTAGAGGCTAGATTGAGGGTGAAGAGCCTGGGAGCAAGGACAGGGGCGGGGAATACAGTAGTGAATCCTCCCTGCAGAGAGGCAACTATAAGGAACCAAACTTGGAGGTGTGAGGAAAGTAGAAAGAAAACGGTCCTTTCTGGAAGATGGGGCGATGTTAGCCAGTTTTGTGAAAAACAGGGAATTCAAGGGGGAGGGAAAGGTGATGGATTTATGTTTTTCATAAAGTGGCCATGGATTGATCGTGTGGATGTTGTCTAGAAGGCAGTAGGGATGCAGGAAATCATGTTAATAAGAATTGCTTGTAGGAATTCTAGAAATCTTGGCAGTGTCTGGAGAATTTGAGAATCTAACAAAAAATGAAGTCAACTTTTGTTGACTTCATTATTTCAGGAGGAAATAATTATTTCCCCTTGACTCCCAGGCTTATTCAATTTAATGAAATGTTATGGTTGAGTTGCATCTCTCAGAAAAGATATGTTGGAATCCTTACCCTCAGTACCTCAGAATGTGACCTCATTTGGAAATAGGGTCATTGTAGATGTAATTAGTTGAAATGAGGGAACACTGAACTGAAGCAGGAGACAATCCAATATAACTTGTTCTTATAAGAGCTCCTGAAACACTACTCAACTCTCGTGGTTATTCCCTTCCAGCTGATGATGTGGTTATTTGTAGAATTCTCAGCTCTGCCACCAGACTCCACTCCTCTAGCCCCAGGATGAACCCAATAGGAGCTCCTTAAATGGATTTGTCTAAAATAAACCCAGGAAGTGTCACGTGAAGATGGAGGCAGAGATTAGAGCGATGAGTCTACAAGCCAAGGAAGGCCAAGGGCTGCCAGTAGTCACCAGAAATTAGGACAGCGGCATGGAACAGATTTCCCTCAGAGCCGTTTGAAGGAACTGACAACCCTTACAATACCTTGATTTGGACTTCTAGCATCCAGGACTTTAAGAGAATAACTTTTTGCTGTTTAAAGCCATCTATCTGTGGTAATTTATTTGAGCAGACGTTAGAAAGAAATACATCATACATGAGGCCATCGGGCATGTTGGTGATGCTTTCAGAGATGCCGTGGTTTCCTCGCAAGACACAGTTTATTGCCTACTAACTGCAGGACTGCAGGCAGTTTCTCATCCTCTCTGAACCTCAGCTTCCTCATTTGTAAAGTGGAAATATTGGTACTCGCCTAGTGTGGCTGCTTGGAGGATTAACAAACTGGATGCAGAGAACCCAGCACAAAGTAAGAGTTCAAAAACTGTTGGGTTCCCCATTCCAGCATCACCTCTTCTTGAGAACTAATAATTAATGACCTATGAGGGAAACACCCTCATTCCTGAGAGCAGTCATTCAGGATTATACTTTGACCAGAGGCTAAGAAGTGGTAGGGAAAGAGGCAACCACACTGCATGGTTCACTGTAAACCAGAATCAGTGCATTCAGAATGAAAGTCATCATCTTCCTCCAGAAACTAGCTGCTTCTGAACTTCCCTGTTTTTGTCATCCAGATGCAGATGTCCCTGGCTCCTCCTCCTTTCATCATCATGTCTAGCCTATAATCTAATTTCTGTGTTTCCAAAACTTTTTTAGGCTGAGTGCAGTGGCTCCTAACTGGAATTCCAGCACTTTGGGAGGGATTGAGGCCAGGAGTTTGAGACCAGCCTAAGCAACCTAGCAAAACCCGATCTGTATAAAAATTAAAAAAAAAAAATTAACCAGGAACGTACATGCACATACCTATAGTCCCACCTACTTGGGAGGATGAGGCAGGTAGTTTATTTGAGCCCAGGAATTTGAGGTCACAGTGAACTACAATGACACCACTGCACTCTAGCCTAGGCAACAGTGTGAAACCCTGTTTCTAAATAAAGAAATAAATAAATCTTTTTGACTATGATCCAGGACACATAAATGCATATGTGAAATAAAAGCTCCATTAAAAAAAAAAAACTTGCTGTGCTTTTACCTGCCATGCACCCTGTTAATTTCTATTTCTTCCTATTTTTACAAAACTGATCCATTTTTAAACCTGCAGGGTGTTGAGTGCAGATAGCTTCTAGATATGTAAGTCTGAAGGTAGGCAAAGGGGCCGAGCTTGGGTCTAGATTTGGAGGCTGTTGGCATATACAGATGGTACTTTACTCATGAGAGAAGATGGGGTGAGCCAGGGAGGAGAAAAGCACAGAGTGGCAAGGAGAGAACTTCTTGGGGGCACCAGCATCAGTGTGGGTAGAGGATTCAGATTCCCAAAAAGATCAAGAAGTAATTTTCAGAGAGATTTAAATAGGAACAAGGTAAAGTCAAGTTAAAGAGATTAAGGACATAAAGAATTTTGAGAAGGAAATTTTTTTTTTTTTGAGACAGAGCC